CGGCGTGTTCACCCAAAACACCAGAAAAATAACGAGTGGGTTGCTAGACTTTTGGAGATGAGGGATTGGAGTATTGGGATCTTGTAGTTTGGTTAACCCCACTTATACTGGGAAATATAACTGTGTTGCTGTAACATACCGGTGTTCTGTAGGCCGTAGTATCTATTCGTGCCGAAGCATAGCTCTCCCACAATTATTTCTTACTTATACATTTTCAATAATTGTTGGCTCCGAATTCGATATTGCACCGTATAGCATTTATTGGTATAATGAAATTATAGATGGTCTAACGCAGCATCAAGTACTGAAGTAGGTAGCGCTGTACGAGACCGCCTCAGTAGTAGTCGAGCGCGCGGCACCGGCGCCGTCGAGGGCGCTGCTAATTGGCCAATTACCTACATTGACGTCCTGTCGGGAGTGCTCAATAACAACTGCTTAATGTATTAACTTTCAGGATTACGTATTACTAACATCATTTATGTGATAATGAAATATACCGTGTTCTTTGCAGGTTTCTTGATTTACTTGGAATTTCGTACGATTTTTACCTTGCAACCTGACCAGGCTTTGCTCAGTGGGCTCTCCCGATGGACTCGTTATGTTTAATTTGATGTTTGTAAACATTATCCCGATAATACACAGAACATAAAATATCAGTCGCAAGACATCCTTTACTGAAACAAGCCCTAACCACCAGTCCGGTTGTAAGCGCCCTGCATCCAGCAGTCCCCGTGTAATCCGTGTAGAGAATGACGCGATGTAATGGTCATTCCGCTTTGATTCGCAGCTAACGTCAGCGTTGTTCCTGGGTCTGGGCCCGCCCGCCTGGCCGCGGCTGGCCCCGCTCTCCATCCTCTCCGACATCCTCATGCTGCTCAACTACGTGCTCAACCCGATCCTCTACGTGCTCATGCGGCAGCGCAGGAGGCTCTCACTCACCAACCTGTGCCACTCCATTGCGCACTGCTTTAAGCGGGTAAGGGCTATGCTCCTCAGTTGCCTCGATGTTGCTCTGCTTACTGCTTTGCTGATATAATGGCCAGTCTATCCGGAACTGAGCCCCAAATATACCGACCAGAAGTATTACGGACGACAGCAGGATAACCAATGGCACACAATATTGAGAACATAGTTTTTTTAAAAAAAAACCTTGCCCCACACTCAAGTTTCTCCTATGTCGTGGGTACGGTTACAAACATACAATTTTACATACTTACACATGATACCCAGATCCGGAACAACAATTTGTAAACCACACAAAGAGTTGTTCCGTGCGGGAATCGAACCCGCGACACCTTGCATGGCAGCCAATTGCCCAGCCACCGCACCAACCTTGCAGTCAATATTCAGAAACCGTTTTGTTTCTAAAATATTTCTGCACAAAACGTCGTGGAAGGGAATGTATATAACACAGATACTCATTCCCCTATTAAGAATGGGGTACCTACACTAGAATTCTATTAATGTGGTTTTGTTTATTAACAGAGTCATAAAACGTCGACGGAGTCGGTGTCGATGAAGGCGTCGTGCTGCCCACAGGAGACGCTGGTAGTGAGCGACAGCTCGGGCGCAGAGCTGCGTCCGCTGCGCGCGCCCGTCTCGCTGGCGCCCTACGACGCGCAGCACGCAGCCTGACTGGACGCACGCGCGCGCCCTCTGCCGGCGACACACATTCACCAAACGACAGATCTGATCACGACTATCTATTAGTATCTTGATATTTCCAGATTATAAATATTTTAAGTTAGTCTTTGAATGCAGATGTTTTTTCTGCATTTTTATTACCAAAGACAACAATCATGTTACTTGATATGTCCTTACGACGCCCTCACGCTATAGATCAGTGCAGTGTGGAGGCACACAAGTAGCGCGTGCTCTCACCCAGCGTCCCGGCCGGGACAGTGGCTGCAGGAGCGGCTCGCTCGGTATCATCACCATACAATATATCTACAATTGACTTATCTGCAGACTCTAGTGTTGATATTGGTCCCTGTCATACAGGATATGTAACTGTAAGGATAATTAATTAATAATTTCTGTAAATATAGAAGACATAACGTTATTGTACAGTTTTACAAATTATATTTTCTATTTTTGTATTATCGTATTAATTACAAAAAAAAACAGAGTAATGTAAACAAGTTACAATACTTACTTATAGTACAAAGTGAAATGTGCTATATAGAGGGCGCAAAAGTGTACCTACCATTTTATAAATCATAATATTACAAATTAAAAATCTGCTTTAAGTTTGTAAAAAGTACGTAAGTTATAAATAATACAATTTTATTATAACCCATATCCTGACAATTTTAGAACATCAAAATAGAATTGTCCGTCAGTCTGTCAGTGAATCTCGGTGCTCATTCCAATTTTGTTAAACTTTCGTATCCTATACATTTGAAATAATAATATTTACAACATCGAGACAACAACTAGCTACATAATGTATATTCAAAAGTACCAGGATACGAAATTTCGAATCGATCAGACTTGAAAAAGTTTTTATTTTATAAAGAAAACAAACACAGATATGTGAAAATAGCTGCTAAACGCAGCGCGTGTCGTAGTTACATCGATACAGATTGGTGCTAATAAATATTAATATTGTACCTACACTAGTCACTCGATAGAGCTAAATAACATCATTGTATCCAAATGATGCTTTAGTCAATAAGGCAGACTTTTTACAACTTCGCTTTTATTTTATTCTTTGGAAATTAAAGGCGAAATATATATATTATATCGATCTCAACGCATCCTTTTTTGTAAATTCGGACAAGAAAAGATCTGATAATAACCTAGATATATCTAGGAAGTAACCGACTAGTCCCAAATACATACATACGTAGTTACCATATCGTTGTTCTATGTACATAACTAGTATTAAGTTATTTGCACTAATAAATATGTGTTATTGTGGCAAGTAGGACATCTTTCTATATTATAATATGCTCTCTGTTATCATAAGTTAGACTAACTATAATCGTTTATGTACCCAAATATCAGTATGGGTTTCCAAATAAACAACACGTATTGGCAATTAAAAAACCACCGAACTTACAAAAAGTATTAATAAATATAAATATAAAATGGCAAAAGGTTATCGAGTTTAATTTTCCTTTAAAAATTAGTAGTAAAAGTATAAAAGCAGATTTACTACCTACCAACCAAACAGTTTTCTATAACCGCTCGCAATGTCGCGACGAATAAGTAATATTTTAAACCATCGAACACATCACATTGGTACCTTCTATGATGTATAAGTAGGAATAAGATACGATACTCGATGTAAGACACAGTAACGACCCGCGGCTATTGCCACATTTGTGATGTGGACGTCAAGTTTGTATTGTACATAATATGTAGCTTTAATAGATTAGTACATTATTTATAACCAATCAATGAATACAACCTCTAAGACACATCTACCAGTTCGTTTTATTTGGAGCAACTCAGACACGGAACACGGAACCGCACTGTAAATTAGTTCCACTATGCCCAACCTCCACTCCACTCTCCCTACTATGGCAGACTATCTCAAAAGACGTTATGTGTTTTGAATAAATAAATAAGTAGATGGGGACTTGTTCACCAACGACTGCTCCAGTGAAAATAACTTATTCAGCACTTTTAAATGCCTAATCATACAACTTCACAAATAAGTAAGTAGTCGTCTAGGGTGCACCGTGCAAGTAACATGCCGGTGTTGCGGGGTAAGCGCAATGAGGTACCGCGACCTCGGCACAGAGCAGGAGAAGGAACAGGGGGTTTTTAGTCAGTAAGAGTCTGGCACTCCCTCCTGCCCGGCCCTGGGCGGGAGAAGTCATTTGATGATTTTCCCCTCACAAAAAAAAAAAAAAACCGTGCAAGTAACATTAGTGTTTTGCGGCCCCGGCCCCATGCAGGAGAAGCAGCAGGGTAGTTTCTAGTTTAGTACTAAAAATGAGTAGGTCTGTACTTAGCTCACTGTCATCGCAATACATTCAACGCCGTAAGCAGTTGATAGAAGTGGTTCAGTAGAAAACGCACTTACGGAGACGGGTTTTCTCAGGCTTACGATGCTGTAAGTGACTACTGAAACGCGCTTGGTGAAAATGGAATAAAATTGGCCAACACCGTTCATTAAAATTTGAAAAGAGGTGAGCAGTGAAAAACCGTTTTTGTTATAATTTGACTTTTAAACACCGGTAAGTTACGTTTTAACTAGTATAATACTAAAATACAGTAAGTAAAGTATAATAGAGACGGGACTTCAACATGAATTTCAAATAAGTACAGCGGTTTCTCATTTACTCAGGTCCCAGTTAGCTAAGTTTTACTACAATCGTGCAGTCAGTCAGTTTCGGCCATACCACGGCCTCACAGAATACAAGCCTGAAATAATGCTTGGGTTATAAGAATGAAGTACTTAACCAGAGACTTAATCCTTTCTTACTCCGTACAATTAATATAGTATAGTGTACTCATTGTTGAGAAGCCTAAAATAATTAAATAAATAAATACTCCCTATCCCGAAATCCCCAATCATCAAATACCTTCGCGAAAAGCCGGCAGGACACTTATAACTATGTTTATCCTGGGCGGTACGGATTGCTAATCAGCAGGTTTGCTCGTTTTTTTAAACTATTTGGGTTCAAAGCCTCGCAAAGTATTTATCTATTATTATGTTTACTTTTAGTAAATTGGGGCCCTGACATACAGTTATTAAAATATTTTATTATTTTGAAATCTCTAATCCACCTTAAGCAAGCGTGGTGATTAACGCGCATCATTTCTCCGTATATGAAGATTAGATTAGGTTAGCCTATTCTCAGTAGGTAGTAAGCTGAACAGCCTGTTGGCAATGAAAACCAAAATTACTATCTTAAAATTAGTATGTACCTACTTGTACTATAACTATGGGGTCTATACTCTATGGAGACAGAGTCAGACAGAGAGACATGTCAAGCATTACGTCAATTGTCAATTTGATTGTCATTGTCAATCAAAGTGTAGACTGTAGTGACTGTATTCGTTTACTCAGCGGCTATAATGCCTTGAATGCTAAAATTCTAAATTTTTCCGTATTTTTTAATCAATATGTTGTGTACCGAGTAAGAAAATAAAACTGAGAATATTGCCGTAACCGACTATAACAGTTGTTCGTAGAAAAATCCCGTTAAGATGTCTAAATGGTGTGTTTGTAGCAGAGCACTTTATTGTTTAGCATTACTTCAAATTATTCAGTATTCAGTACTCAGTACTCAGAACCATAGTTGTTATAAAAGAAGTATAAATATTTGTAATGAGATTGATATGAGCAAGTTCTATATATCTATGTTCTATGTTCTGTAACGATGTTGTATGATGCATGTAGGCAATCGGAACGCAGCATCCACGAGATGTTAAAAGACACTCCACCTCTGCGCGAGTCCAGCGACTCTATCACGTCGGGCACAGAGGCCAAGTTTCCCACGTCGCGGTCCATGCCCTTCCCGCCAGCATATGGTAAGCCACACCACTCCACCACTTTCTATAATTTGCTACTGTCTGCCTGTCTGCCTCACTAGTAGAGTACCTACTGTTTAAAGCATTGAAGCAGACATGCAGGACTTGATCAGGAACATGCTAAAACTTGATGAATATTATATACAATGCTTTGACCAAACATTTAGACTATTTGTAAAAAAAATATATATGTATAATAATTATTTTACTGTAACTTATTTAAGGACAGAACACAGAGTCAATGCATGACTCTACTGCCTATTACCGCAACAATATTTTTAAGATTGACAAATATAAATAATAGAATATTTTTAGACTGATCTCTAACAAGACACTATATGTGTTGTTAGAGATCAGTCTAAAAATAAAAGCAAACTTATATTATATTTTATTTACTGATATTCAACTTTTAAATGGTTACATAAAATAAATGACAATAATTTTATTAGGCAGATACAGTTATAGTTGAAAGCACAAAAGTGGTGTTGCTTCGGAATTACAAATTAATGCATAATAAAAGTTAATAAAATTACCAGTATGGTTCACTAAATTACTCACTAAATGATTATACTATAAGTTTCTCTAGTGATAGCAGACCAAAACAACATCATTAGTAAGTATAAAATGTGTGTAGAAAGTGCATGGCAAACATATTGTGTATCCATTTATATGTTTCTGTAGGACTCATAACAAATCGTTGTGCTTCAATAAATGTAGATAAAAAGCAATATGCCAACACATATTAGTGCAGTGGGGAGCATTCACAAGTCAATGTGACAATGCATTGTTCTAACTAATATGTTAAATTAAGTTCCTTCCAATTACTTCACTATAACAACTAGCTAATGAATATCAGGCAAGCACGAAGGAAATTGCCTATCATCAAAAAATAGTACCCGTACTGCACATCCCAAGTAACTTGACATTGTAGGTGACACCATGTAATGCAATAAATTTGTTGTCCTGAACTAACTTCTTTGATATACGTGAAATGTCAATGATTCTTCGGTTATTTAAGCAATCTTGAAAGAGTAAAATAATTTCTTTGGAACATTAACAGTATATTTGAGATTGAGTAAAGATGTTAACATTGTGTAACGTTGTGGGCAGTGCCCCCCGACGTGTCGCAGAATGGCGCGGCGTCCAGCACGCTGCTGCGGGCGGGCACGTCCAAGCTGGACGCCATCCGCAACTGGGGAGTCTCCACATACAAGTGCACCAAACAGATACTCTATGAGAAGCTCGGTAAAAGCTCGCGGACTGTGGATACTGGTGAGTGAGACTACTACATATGTATATAAGAAGGCTACTATGCACAGACCACGACTTGTCCAACCAGGTCGAAATACCAAGCCTACTAAGGTAATTATACCTTGTAAATATGAAACGCGAAAGTTAAAAAGTTCGATAAAATAATAATTAATTTATAAAACAAATGGACATTTAATTTTTATTCCACCCACAAAATTGAATAGCAATATAAGTAGACTATTACAGTGGTCTGATTGGTATTTAAGTTACTTAGTTTTATGTAAGGGCTTGCACTTCTTATAATAAATGAATTGTAAAATTAATGAGGTTAGCGTGTCTTAAACCATAACCGTTCGCTACAACATGTACGTACGCGCAGAGCTGGAGGCCCAGATCGAGATGCTGCGAGAGACGCAGCGCAAGTACGCGGGCGTGCTGCGTCTGTCGGGCGCGCTGACGGCGCAGCTGGGCGCGGCGGCGGGCACGCAGCGCGCGCTGGGCGAGTGCTTCGCCGAGCTGGCGCAGAAGTCGCCCGAGCTGCAGACGCAGTTCCTGTACAACGCCGACACGCAGCGCACGCTCACGCGCAACGCAGACACGCTGCTCGCCGCGCTACACTTCTTCAACAACTCGCTCGCCACGCTCACGCACAAGACCATCGAGGACACCTTGCTCACCATCCGCCAGTACGAGGCCGCCAGGTGACCGATCCCATCTATTCAATCACTCGGAGTTACAGCCTACTAAGTTGAAACTGACTTAGCGATTAGTCCTGATTAGTTTAGATATTGGATACTATTTAGTTCCACCTCTACCACACCTACAAAGACAAGTGTCATATTTTATATCAATATGTTTTTGAATATTTTATAGTATTCAAAGACATTGAATAGCAAGGAAGAATTCTTATGACAAAAATTTCCAATCTATTTTTTGTTTTTTTTTTTTTAATATATAAGTATCAACTTGTGTAAATATTAAATCAAACACATTTATACTATAGATAAAATGCAACCTTCGATAATTTCACGGTATCTGAGATGCTCTACTGCACGATATTGTCACATGAGGGAACTATAGGAGCAAGTATTTGAAATGTCCGCGTGTGCAGGGTGGAGTACGACGCGTACCGCAGCGAGCTCGAGGCCAGCGGCGGCAACCCGCCCGAGCTACTGCTGGCCAACATCGAGCGCCACCGCCGCCACTACGAGCGCCTGCGGGACGACTCCGCCGTCAAACTCAAGCTGCTGCACGAGAACCGGGTCAGTACCGCCGCCCCCGGCGCGGGCCTCGACGCGGGCCCTGGCGCGGGCCCCGACGCGGGCGCTGACGAGCGTGTGTTTGCAGGTGAAGGTGATGAACAAGCAGCTGTTGTTGTTCCACAACGCGGTGTCGGCCTACTTCAGCGGGAACCAGGTGGCGCTGGAGGCCACCGTGCGCCACTTCAACATCGCGGCGACCCCCGCGCCCGCCCCCGCCCCCGCGCCCCTGCCGCCGCTGAGCTCGCCCCCCGCGCCCCTGTCCGCGCCCGCGCCCCCGCCCCCGGCGCCTCGCCCCGCGTAGTACTTGTACTACTGCAGCACTCACGCGATTTCCTATTTCTCTAACATTAATGCAACGTTTTTCTATTGGTTAATTGTCTAACGACATAATATGTGAATATAGGAAACCGTTACATTAAACGTCAATGTAACACATTTTCTTTCCCCATCATTCAGAGTATGAGACACACAATGAATCTGGGAATATAGTTCTACTATGCGTCCCATACAAACAGTACCACTCACATGGTTCTGTTTCTATGTCTTGTATAGGTATTCCAAGTGGTTAAGATCTCAACAGCTAGTTTTGTCATTGTATTTACTAAATTGATTGCTTATTTTATGTAAGCTGTATTCTAGCAAGTCCCTTAGGTCATAAGAATATTTTTGCACTTAATGCAATTTACGCCTGTATCATCTGGTCTACATTATCAACTAAATTAATTTAATTTATTTTATTATGAAGTCTTATAGAATAGTGTTAAATATTTTATTACAGTATTATATTGCTTTATGCTTACTACCTAGTTAATAAAAGTATTCCAACCTAATCTTCCATAAGAGGTACCAGGCAGTGTGGCCATTTTTTTATATATATCAAGCAAATTTGTGTAAAATTATGGAATAATTACATAATGTTGAGAAGGCGCCCGTTTTTCCATACTGACTGTCTTGAGCACACAGCGCTATAATTAGATCATTGTTTAATATATTACACAAGTCCACTCAATTTGAGAAATGAATATTATTTGATTATTGAAATTGTTCATGGTTGGTCCTGTTCATTAGCACTTTAAATAGAATCCAAGATGATTAAGACTGAATCTTATAAGTCGATCTCATACATTTATATTCTCTCCGAGTCAAGTAATCAGGGGATTGTTTAGGGTGCTAGTGAAAGGGTACAGTGCTGACAATACATGCACAGGTAGCTTGAGTATCATAGGTAGGTTCTAGAGCACATGCTCGTTTAGCTAGTCAAGTTATTGTTTTAGTTGATTGTACTATCCATGTGACTTTATTATTATTTTAGAGAACTAATTATACACTATTATTGTAAATGTATGGCAATGTGTTTATCATATTTTATAGGGAGTGTAAAATAGATCACTGGCCTCTTTATGATATTTTATTTACACCTTCATATTAGTGTGTATGCAAATATTACACATGAATTGTTATGTACAACCAATTGTAAGTACATAAAAAAATGTACTGTCAACGGCCCATCGCCATACTGCCAGCCTACACTCTGTCCCAGGGAACCACCAGTACACATCTTTATATCTGCTAGTGATGTTAAGCCCTCACAGCTTCTCTGTTACTATCGGCCTTGTGTTTTTCTTCATTTTCTGCCTTTAGCTTTTCCTGTGAATATAATAATAGCAATTATTACTCATGAACTCGGACAGGTTTTTAGTTATACCAGAAATAAAAAAAGCTTGTTTATTTGGTTATTACTCTGATCATCATTTCATTCAATGGCAAAATTGCAACACCATTAGTTACGTGAGTTGGCTACCAAAAGAGTGGCGATATAAATACTCACAACATCATAGATAACCCTAACCACCAGTGAACAGCTTGGACAGGTTGCAAGTTCTTCACCATCTAGCAGCTCCTCCTGTAAAAAAATTAAATTCGTTTATATATAAACTGACATATAAATATAATGCCACATGAAAAGATAACCTTATGCCTGCGAACTATCTGATACTGTATTCTTCAGTTCTAATAGTTGCTAACCTTGCTTATTTGAAACCTATCACCACAGGGACAGGGATAGTAATACATATTTTCATCCTCCTCATAATCGAAGTCCTCAATTTCTATTTCATCATGAAAAGTCGTCATTATTTATGTATTTTACAATCATGTTCATACACCAAATGGAAATATTTTATATCAAAGATAACCAACTCTGTCTAGCTGATCACTCAGTCGTAGGTACATGACTAATTCAGTTTTGTCACTTCTGTCAATGTCAGAGTCAAAATATATCACTTTATAAAATATAGTCTATGGTCAATAGTAAAAGTGAGTTCCACTGTCAGCACAATATTTACATTAACATAGAAGTAATTACATTAAATAAATCACAATATTTGTTTTCTACTCTGTATTAATACACTGTATGTTTCCAAGGTTAATTAGTGTGCAGTACAGATGACATAGCTCTTATTTTATTATCTAGCTCATTTTTAATCTGGGCATACAAATGCCCATACTTTAAATGTATATTAAATATCAATCATGTGTTTAAAACGCAATAAACTATATTATCTAAAACAACTTTATCAAACTACAAACTAACTGTTGTCACGTAAGTTACGAGTATGTGTCTCTGACTATAGTCAGAGACACATACTCGTATATAGTAATCTATGGTCATGTCTCACGTCAGGCACGTCACACGTCATTTGACATTTTATTTCTGCCTGGGGGAGGAAGATCATGTTCGTTTCATCATAATATATTAGTTGCAAAAGTATTTTACAGTGTTACAGTGAGTGTCCGAGTGCCTGTGTCATCTCATTTATTATCTTTATAGAATAAATTGACAGCATAATGTTCAGTTGGCTAAAGAAAGAAGGTGAAAAATCCGAAAGTATAGAAAATGTCGTGGAGGGTCTCAAAAGAATATATAAAACAAAACTTTTACCCTTGGAGCTGCATTACCAGTTCCACGACTTCCATTCACCACAGCTCGAAGAACCAGACTTCGACGCCAAACCTATGATCCTACTTGTTGGTCAGTACTCCACCGGTAAAACTACATTCATCAAATATCTGTTGGAACGGGATTTCCCGGGTATAAGAATAGGTCCTGAACCAACCACCGACAGATTCATCGCCGTAATGTATGATGAAAAGGAAGGAGTGATACCCGGCAATGCCCTCGTCGTAGATCCCAAAAAACAGTTTCGCCCTCTGAGCAAGTTCGGTAATGCTTTTCTGAACCGGTTCCAGTGCTCAACGGTTAGCTCGCCAGTGCTGAAGGGCATCTCCATCGTTGACACACCCGGCATCCTGTCGGGAGAGAAGCAGCGCGTAGACCGGGGCTACGACTTTACTGGTGTGCTGGAATGGTTCGCCGAGCGCGTCGACCGCATCATTTTGCTGTTCGACGCACACAAGCTCGACATCTCGGATGAATTCAGACGCAGTATTGAAGCATTGAGGGGCCATGATGATAAAATCCGTATTGTTCTGAACAAAGCTGACATGATTGATCACCAGCAGCTGATGCGTGTTTATGGTGCTCTTATGTGGTCCCTAGGCAAGGTGCTGCAAACACCTGAGGTGGCCAGAGTGTACATTGGGTCTTTTTGGGACCAGCCTTTACGCTACGATGTCAACAGGCGATTGTTTGAGGATGAAGAGCAGGATCTCTTCAGAGACATGCAATCTTTACCACGAAATGCGGCTTTGAGAAAGCTAAACGACTTGATCAAGAGAGCTCGCCTCGCCAAGGTTCATGCCTACATAGTCAGTGAACTAAGGAAAGAAATGCCTTCTGTCTTTGGAAAAGATGGTAAAAAGAAGGAATTAATAAAGAATTTAGGTCAGGTGTATGACCGTATACAGAGGGAGCAACAAATATCACCTGGTGACTTCCCAGACATCAAAAAAATGCAGGAAACTTTGGCTAACCACGACTTTACCAAGTTCCACCCCTTGAAGCCCAAGCTGCTTGAAGTGGTGGACCACATGCTGGCCACTGACATTGCCCGCCTCATGGACATGATTCCACAGGAAGACGTGAATATTGTGTCCGAGCCACTCATCAAAGGTGAGTCATATTCTGCATATACTAGTGGTGTGTTGCTCTCACCTGGAGAGCTGTTCTCACTTGATATTCCACTTGACTTAACATATGTCATAACAACTTCCTTACTCATTCTGATAAAATTACTCAGAATGGGTATGGGTATCATTCATATTTGGTGTGTGAAATAATATACAACACTAAATTAAAATGAAACACTTAACACAATTGTATTGTTATACACCTTGTTGTATAGTACTACATGTGATAACTCCTTGCTTGAAAAGGCAACACAGACTGCATTCATCCAATAATTTGGTCCAGTTGGCCAAATAACTAAATCACTACAACTCTTGGTATCTAAATACAAACCTAAGAAATATCAAGTCAGTACCATAATTATGTGTAGCTACCACTATCTCAAGATATTGACCTGATTTCTTATCAGAATGATAACACTGCCAGGAATTCACTAACATAACTGTAAGTGTGGCAGGCAAACTCTATAATTAGAAATTATTCAATTATTATGTCTGACCTCATGCTTTGGAAACACATCATGACAGAGCAATACCTTACATGTATACTTCCATTCATTAATTATCTTGTGATCCTAAAAAATGCTTCTAACTTCCTCCATGCTTCTTCAAATTTCTAAATATCATTAAAATATACAATGTGGGAGACAAATGACTAGTAGGTATAATGTTATTTTACAATGTACACACAAAGTGATTTATTTAATTAGTTTTACCTCATGATACAAAAATGTGAACATGAATATGTAATATGAATCATTCTGCATATTGATAAATTATTTCAGAAATATAATTACGTAATGCAATCAGTACAAATAATATAATTCCGAGGCGGAGTCGCGATGTGAGCAGCGGCGCGCGCCTGTCTCGACTACCTAGTACCTACTTGCATTCAACTTGAACCAATTGAACATTGGAGAAAGTGACGATGCCACTGCTGCCAATTTGCTTTAGGTTTATAAACATTATAAGTCCACTCGAAATGTAATGGAAGCATCGGATCTCGTGACTTGCAGGGTAATTCACTGGCTCACTGCACGTTATATTAATGTTTTTCTGCAACGTCGGTCGGTGATTGTTTGGTTTGTCCGCATAAGTCTTATCTGATCCGCCTGACCGCGGTTAACATTCAAACATATACACACTCGGGACCTAAGATAGGCAATATCAGGATTATGTATTTAAGTGTGTATATTTTGATGATGGACAGCATTCATCATGAACTAGGTACCATCAGCACCTAGATATGGGTTTCGAAGTAGTTAGCGCCGCGTCCGCGTCAGTTAGCAATTGACCTCTGACTCATACATTGGGCAGCCGATACGATCGCGTTCAGTTGAATTATTTATTAGCATCATGTTTACTGCCTCGATATTGTTTAGGCAGATATTACACCGACATTTTTATTATATTCTACAACATACTAGCAATAAATGTGTTTGTGCTATTGTATGACGTCGCAGTCGCAGTTACGTGTGGGTACTCGAGCTACTAGACGAATAGTTTATGAATGGCACTTGCACACTTGCAGCTCGCAGTTACCTTCACCGTATTACACATAGGTGACACCTTGGTGTGGATGCAAGGTCGAGCTGAATACGAGCAACTTCTTACAACAATATCTATTTTGTTATCAGCAGATAATGCCCTGCAAAACGTACGACGAGCGATACGAAAACTTTCAAGTCAACGCTCACTGTCACTTATTATTATTTGTGCAGCGACTTACAGCAACTTGCCAGTTGGAACTTGGTGCCGTATCTCACGCAGTCCCCTGTACGGGTCACCTGTATGTCTTACTTATCACGGCCACATCCGTAGGACTAGCTCGGCCGATCCAAATACTGATAAATCATACGTAATGTTACTGACTTTTGACTTATCTAACTCAAAACTAAACTTTAGTATTTGCTTTTTTCCAAACATACATATAAGAAGTACACCTACACTCTTTTTTTATAAATTTTCCAAATCGCCGCCTGTTGTCTGGGGCTGCACCACTGCCTCGGGCCTCAGAGCCATGGCGATTGCTCGCAAGTGGGAATGCCTACCTAGATTAAATGTCGACCAGAGGCGGATAAAAACTAGTGAACCTCATAGATCCCGCAACCTGGCACTCTGGCCACTTGAACTTTTACCTTAAGGATTAGATGCACAAAGCGATAGCTCCTACATAATTCACCTATGTCCATAAGCTTCATAGTTCAAGTTATATGTTTTTGTGATTAAGTACCGGAGTGGTACCTCAGTCTCACAGAATATGTTGAGGTTTCTGAAGGCCCAACTCTACCCTCTATACATTACTCCTATTTCAAATTATTATCTACCCTCAACAAACCACAACAGGCCTTCAACGTTATTGTAACTGCTTTGGTGTTACGGGTGCCCATATACGGCGCTAATTGCGTTCAGTGTTGGTCCGTCTGTTGGTTTACCGTTCTTTCCCATAAAAAAATAAAAAACCACTAGACACAGAACCTTGCAAATTGGAATCAAAATTAGTATCTTGAACAAACAGCCTGTGAAAGGGTAACATCGGATTTTCTAAAATATTAGCAGCTTAGCAGCCATTAGAACAATATTATTAAGGTACATAATAACTGAGTGATTGACTATGAACTCTGTCACCTCCACCGGCACCTGGCATTGGATGGCATATTATTGTACGCTGACGTCCATTAACAACATGACCGCGCACAAACCTGTAATTAGTTGACGCTGTACCTGAAGCAATCAATATGAGAAACGTTACGCAATCGACACGTAGTAATTGTTATCTGCTGCGCCAGCGTTATCATGCCGCTAATCTGTCCGCTGACACCGCCCGGTGTCACTGTATGGACGCTAGTGTACTCGAAGTACATATAGCGTTATCTCAGCTATCACACCGTATTATATCACAGAGTCCGCGGGTCGTGGCTCGCAGGGGCTGCTGCAGTAGCACAGTCTCAGAGTCTTTCAAATCTTTTTCTTTTGTACTGTAGTGTGCGTCATCAGTCAGTTAGTCATCGCCATCGCTAATGAAACTAAGTAGGTTTATAATTTTGCCATACTCCGTTACTACTGACTCAGCAATAAGCGTTGCATGTTCGTACTACGTGATCACATTCACAGGCATGTTGCGAGTTTCCGACATTATTGATTTTATTTTCATAACCTTCGCTTGACCATTAAGCCTTGAGTAATTATTGCAGCTAATGCCTAAGTATTATTATCATTTCGTTAGGGTCAAGATCATTCAAAGTGCCGTGTCAAACCCCTACAACAAGGTAGTCTGTCTGTCCATCTTCCAATTGCTACGTTATTAATGATTAGACTTGAATGTTACTTCCCTAGTCAGCAGATGTTGATCGCAACAATTGGCTTAGTGACAGTTGTTGCGATCGGTGATAAATCGCCAAAGAAATAAACAACAACAGACTCGGTCAGTGCGGCGCATGCGTTTGCTTGATGAGTGATGCTGATGACTAACTTGTGTTAATACGGAAACATTATTAGGGACACGTCGAGTCGACACGTTGAACAAACTGTCGCCACTCGTCACACTCACTCAATCACAATTTTCTGTAACGTACGAGCGCTGGAAGTTGCCGGGGCTGGGCAGTGGCAGTGTCGTCCATGAGCGCGTGAGATTGAATGAAGCATTCAGTTTTATATATTCTGGCATGTGGAATTTCATTAGGATGATGTGACATGTATGTAGGTACCGCGCACCTTACGCGCCGACCTGCCGATACTGGCGGCAATGAATGGGAGCGCGACCAGCCCCGGCCGCGACGCGGCGGCACTTTCGCCGCACTCGGTAGTCTAGATTAATCATGATTACAATAGAAAATGGTCATGAGCCACGCTCACTGGCTCACTGCGGTAGCGTAGCGTAGGAACTTGTAGCCGCATCGCAACGCACAACTAGCGCTTTATTCATTCCTTGTATTAGTTAGTGACCTAGACATTTGCTTGTAACTAGTGGTCTAGACTGAACGCTGACCATTTCGACGCCTTCTTGAATACAACCCGATTCTAAAATTTAATAAATGTCTGTTTATTGTAAATAAAATTAGTTTCATAGCTCATTCTCTGTTGCTGTTGTAATTTTTGAACTAGGACAGTCTTTCAGTTCGTTTAACTGCATTGCAACATTTAGTTATTAAACCTTCTAGATTGGAAACTCCCGATAAGTCTGTGTAGTGGTCGATCAGCAGTGCATCGGCTTAGGCACGCGGCGCGTCGTGGGCACATCGCGTGCATCGGCGAGGAAGTGTCGCAAGTCGGTGCAATGCAACAATAATCGCTTTCTTGCCACTCATAGTTTGATGTTACGCAACTATCGAGTCGTTTACTGGTTTCCAGGTTAAAGTTTCTGACTAGAGTTAAACATTCACGTACATTCATTATAATAAAAGGTAGCAAACGACGGTGTCTGAGCAATACTAGTAGCTCGCAGTAGTTGCAGGCACTGAGACATTTGTGACTTTTCACGAAACAGTACTGATTTGTGTAGGTCCCTATGTTTACATCGGATGCGGGGACGCACACTCGCGAAGTTAATTGTAGTGGCTATTGTTCCGCGTCCGCTGTGACATCACCCGATGCGGCCGCTCGTACATGATACAGCCCGATCTGAGCAGCATCCATTGTGTCTGCGCCGACCCACTTGTCGCTCAATGGTGGCTCATTGTGCTCGCATCACGACACAACTGCCCGACTCAACCATGAACAGACGACAATATCGTCTGTTTGTTCTTCTTGCCTTTGTCAACCAATCCCAATCGATTATGACGATATTTTGAACTCGCGAACCGATTATAGTTAACGTTCTCACTGCCATACTTTCGGCGATAGAAGCTACTTTACCTAACGGTGCAAGAGTACCGAAAGCGCGAACAGAACAAATGAAATCGTTGGGTGTCGGTGTCGGTGTCATAAGGTTCGGAAGCGGACGATGTGGGCCGAGCGTGCGCTGCATGCGAATGCTGGCCTCAGCAG